CTATATGATAAAATAAAATATTCTTGTCACCACTTGTTTTGTTGAACTTTTGATGTAGGTTTTAAATATGTATGTTTTATTTTTTATTTCTATACTAATATTTAAATAAAATAGATTGAAAAAACTTGGGAATTTTCTTCGTTTTGCGAACCGGGAAGAAAGTTTTAGGACGGAGGGAGTAGCAGTTAGTCAAACAATGCAACTTTCGACGTTGAGCCGGGGGTCTCTTTGGAAACAGCCTCTCTACTTTCGAGTAGGGGCAAGGTCTGCGTACACACACCCTCCCCAGACCCTACTCTTGTGAGATTTAACTTGGTTGTTGTTGTTGTTGTTGTCCCCTCTAACCAAACAAGAAAAATGGTTTTCCACTTCATTTTCTTTTCTTTTCCTTTTCAAATTCCTTGAACCAAACATAGTGTTAGAATTTAAATATCAGTCACAAACGCCTTCATAAGAAGCTAAGCAAACAATGGCAAAACTACCAAGTGGTAAAATCCAGGTTAGAACCGGGACATGGGCACACAATCTGGGCCCAGTCGTACTAACTCCCCCTTTTTCTGGACTATTTTTCTAATTTTAACTTTTGTAATCAAATAGATACTCCATCCATTCTTAAATATATCTAACATTTGTTTTTTCAACAGTCGTAGAAATTATTTTATATTTTTACGTGTTCATTGGTTATTGATGATATAAAATATTCTTAATGTCTTTTATTTCGAATAATTTTTCATGTAGTTTTTTTATATGTAAATTATATTTTTTAATTTTTATATGAATATGTAAATAAAATGAATTGAAAAACTTGATATTTTACCTCAGTAATAGAAATGTGAGATATATTTAGGGACAGAAGGAGTAAATTTTAATCATTAATTTAAAAAAATATATATGAGATACTCTATATATAAGAAAACTTTTATTAGAATTTATCTTGTACTCCCTCATTCCCAAAAATGATGTTACAATTTACGATTCAAAAATCACATGAACTTTTGTTTATTTTTTTCGATTGGTTGAATATTTGGTAAAATAAAATATTCTTATTCTCTTTTTTATATATAAGCTTTCCATTAGTTTTTAAATATATAAGTTTATTTTTTATTTTATACCAATCTTTCAATTAAATGAATAGAAAAATTTGGGCTTTCATTTCATTTTACGTAATGCGACAAACATTTTGGTGCTATAGAGGCATCGTGCTCCTTCTTCGCATACACTAGGGCATTCTAAGTGTTAACATGGTAAATTCAGCTCTTTTCATGGCATTCGCCACTGCAGAAAGATGAACATTCATATTATCCGCAAAGTTTTCAAACTTGGTAAATTCAGAAGTTCGTGATCCCTTAGCGGTATCAAGACTCTTTCTTCTTCTTTTCAGCAACATTAGGGGGGTGGAAGATCCATTAGCAGCAACATCCTCATCACTAGATTCGAGGCTAAGTGGTACAGTAGGTTCTTTTTCCAAGTTCTCAACGGCTTCAACAAAGCCCTCGGCAGACTTTCCAGTAGCATAGTCCTTCCCATAAATACTCTCCATTTCATTCAGGTACGGGAATGGGACACCATACAAACTAGTATCACACCCGTGCAACGCACGGGTCATAGTTACGTTACTAAATTAAGATCATTTTTAAAAATATAAATTTGTATATATTGGAATGTAGAGTTTTCATTATTTTAAAGTACAAAAATAAAATGATTTACAAATTTTGAAAGACTTCTTTATAAACTACATTACTCGTATAATTCGTGTGAGCATTCATTTCGTTGTATATCAACTCTTCCAATTTGGACATAGATCCATTTCTGAAACCATTCTCACACTTCCAATGACTATCAGTAGCCATTTCATACAAAGCAACAATGAGAGCTTTATCTTCCTCCAGAGTCCAATAGCGTTTGTTCCGCCCCTTCCGCCGCTACTCGCATTCCCCTCCTCCATCCTACTACTCAAGACAACGTAATATACATAGTCACACAAAGCTAGGGTTGGAATTTGAAGAAAAAAACTTGAGGGGTTTCAATTGAATTGTAAAAAATTTGTAAAAAAATTTGTAAAAAATCTGTAAAGGGGAGGAAACCGAGCTTGTAAAAATTTGTAAAGGGGAGAAAACCGAGCTTGTAAAAATTTGTAAAAAAATTTGTAAAAATCTGTAAAAATCCGTAAAAATTTATAAAAATCTGTAAACAAATTGCAATTCACCTCATTTGGGTGGAGGGGGAGGGGAGGAAACGGAGTGTGAGGGGCAGGGGGGAATCGCAGGGGGGGTGGAAACCGAGATGGAAGGGAGGGGGAGAACATACCTGGGCTGTGGCGGATGGAGTTGCAGCGGCGGCGAGAAGGTGTGTGGTGGCGAGGAAGAAACGGAGCAACGACTAGGAAAATGGAAGGGTTGGGGAAGGAGGTAGAAGGGTTAGAATAAGGATTGGGAATGGGAAACACAGATATAGCTCACTACAAAATTTCGCTGAATCTGCGATGGAAAAAATCTGTCGCAAACACTCTAGTTCGGTCGCAGATCAACAAATTGCGACAAGCTTGCGACGGATTAAATCCGTCGCAAATAAATTGTCGCATTTTCTATATTTGCGACGGAATTATGGTACTTTCGTAGTTTTGCGACGGCATCCGCGACTAAATTACTAGATCAATAGTTTGCGACGGATCATTAAATCCGTCGCAATTTGCGACGGGATCTGCAACAAAGTTTCTGCATTCTTAATTTGTTGTTTGCGACAGAAATTGCGACGGAATAATTCCGTCGCAAATGCACCAGATATCAGAACCAAAATCTACCTCAATTCCTTATGACCAACAACACAATAACAATGAAACATTACAGCATATAAACAACAGCAGTGAAATAACACAGCATTTGTCAAATTCATTAAAACACAAATATTTTCTCAATTCATGGTCAATCACAACAGAGTATTCGTTAAAACACAATTCAATCCAATACATTTTCAATCACAGCACAGTATTCAATAAAACACATAAAGGTCATAACTTATTCATGCCACACAACCAGTTCCTGAGCCTCCCATACCATCGTCAGGGTCTCGAGGTGTCGGAAGATTTCCACCACACATTCTTTGAATTTGTTCAGCAACTGTGAACTCAATCTTATCCAACCTTGCCTTCATGACCTCATTCTCCGCTCTCAGCCGCTCAATCTCTGAAATATCACTAGTACTCTTTCTTCTGCCTTGATATCTAGGTTTAAGGGGTTTCATTTGATCGGCAAGATCTCCGACTCCCTTAATCCTATTTTTTTGATCAAAGCCACCAACTACCTCAAACCAAATCTCCTGATCCGTGACTTTAAGGCCTGACTCCTCAGCCATTTGTTTCAATTGTACAAAATCAGCCTGTACAATGAAATACATAATGAAAATAATAAACATATGGATTATATGTAATCATCACATTGTCGCATTGTAAACTTAAGTTTAAATAATAAGAAGTATGCATTCATATTTACCTCAAGTTGTGCATTTTCTAGATCTATCCATGTCGTACCATCATGTTTCTTCGTCTTGGTGTGCTTGAAAGCATCAACCACTGTTATTGGAGCTTCAGATTTTTCGGCCTACAATATAAACATTGTCAATTCATCAAACAAAATATATTTTCACTCCTTCATTGCTTAGCACTCATTTATTGTCAATTCATCAAACAAAATATATATTCGTTCATTATTTACCAATCGGGTAAGTTGTTCAGAAAAAGGAATCGACCCTCCAGTATAGGTCCCTATAGCTACGCCTTCATTTCTTCCCTTTCTTCTATTCTTTTTCTTCACTTCAGATTCCTGCTTAAATTCTTTGGAATTCCAAAACTATACATACATATAAGATGAGGATTGTTAGAAGTTATGCAGTTTCTTCCAGTTCCTTCCAGTTTTTTCCAGTTCTTCCAGTTTTTTCCAGTTTCTTCCATTTTTTTCCCGTTTTTTCCAATTTCTTCCAACATCCAGCTCTTTTTTTACAGTCCTAAAGAACAGGCCCTAAATGAGTAGTATTAAAAAAAATATCCCACATTTAAAAAAGGAAGTAAAACTATCACTAGACTAGTACGTCTAGTAGATTTTTAGTGGTGACCAATCTAGAAAAGAATTGTGAAGTAAAGGTCACATTGCTTCAATTCTTACCAAGCCAATTATCAAAAAAAATTATAGAAAAGAAAAAAAACCATTTGACAACATGTGGTTCTTACCAAAATTTCATTAGCAGTGAAAAATTGAAACCCAAATGAGAAAATATAAAGCTTAAATTAAAGAGCACACTATAGAAATATATACAAAACTTTTATTTTATCATCATAACAATACTCATTGGAAAATAAAAAGAAAAATTGAAAAAGCATCAAATAAGAAAAAATTTATAAAAAATAATACAGAGTACTTTCTACAAAAAAGAGTGGAAAGAGAAAAAAATAAAAGATATCATTAGTTTGATTCAGTTTAAACGGTTCGATTCAAACACCAAAACAAAAAACAAAACAAAATAGAATGTTTGGTTTGATCTTTTGTGTTCGATTTTAGTTTTTGCAATTTGGTTTTTATTTTGACACAATTCAATTGATTTTAGTTCGGTTTTCGATTTTTCGAAACCAGCCCTAACTCCAACATACTTATATCCAAAGAAAAAATTAAGAATCATTTTCAACATGTGTCACAAAGTCCCTCATCATATGCTAAGCCAACAGTGCCTAAACACAAAAAAAAAAGTACTGAACAATCCACATACGAAACAATATTTTAACAACCATGTTAGGGATATCCAAAAGAATGTTTTCTAAAGTGTACACCAAAGCTATACGCTAAAATTTTGATAGTTCACACTGACAAAACATGCTTGTGCAATCAAAAAAATTTACATTAGTATTTTGTGTCTGTATGAACCATCACACTGCCATAAAATAAAGGTGCATACCTGTAGTGTAGAATTTGAAGTACAACTTTTGAAGTATAAGTAGCTTAATTCAAATTTTAATTCTGAGTTCTGGTCCTTAAAAACAAGTGCTAGTTAACTAATGAGGTGTCACATGGTTTGGTGCGGACTTCTCATTCACTTTAATTCTGAGTTCTTGCCGATTCCCACCCACCTACGTCCACCCAGGCAAACACCCCCACCCCGCCTGACCCGAACACACCCCTCACCCCCCCCAAATTGCACCCAAAGTTAATTTTGACTTTGGAGTCAAATATAAATTAAACTAAAATTAAATATAACTCAGGTGAAATATAACTACAAACCAGGTATATGCATTCATAACTATAAATAGCTCTCAAGAAAGCATATTATGTGCTTGACCAGAATTATCTCTGTCCTTCACCCAAAAATAATACGGAGTAATAATCAACAAAGTAGGTATAGGGCCCTTAATTTGTTCATAATCAAGAAAGAGGGAAACATGATGAAATTGTTAACCTTGAAATAAGTAAGGTGATATGTAGAAAACAATCTAGTTTTAGTCTAATTTCAGCTCTAGTATAATTAATCAGCCCAAATAAATTCTTTCCTCTAATCTTAGACAAACCAGTCCTTGAACTAAAATCTTGGGATAACCGATTGTAATTACCGTTGGCATCACTACATACCCACGAAGGCAACAGGCTTCATAAGTTCATTAGCAGGAATAATAGAGCATGCAGATATAAGAGTGAGTTTTGGTTCATCACCTTCAACCGTTAACGAGTTCTTCAGAGCTCAGACCCTACAAAAATGTTGCATTCAACTTCTTCACCCCCCCCCCCCCCGAACTGGCACAAGGCTTTCCACATAATCGATACACTCAAAGCCACGCATAACAGTCATTTTGAGCTCACTAGTAGTGACGTTGAAGAGAGCAATTCGGAATTTCACAAAATCAGCAGCTTCGATCACATAGCACACAATTTCATTCTTCCAAATCATCAAGGGATATGCGTCGGAGGGAAAGGGGATGTTGTATTTCTTAGTCCAACTCCATCTCTCACTATCTGAACCTGCCTCGTCCATCACCCACAAATCCAAGCATTCAAATGACCGATGTTTAATAAGCATAGCGAGTTTGTTTTCGTAAACCACAAGTCTATAAGAGCAATTGGGTTGTGAAATGGTTGGCCAAGGAATTAATGTGAACGATTCCAATGCTATGTCTAACAAAACTATCATATCGGCATTACCCTTCGCCCCATGCCAAACCACAACTCCGTTTGCACTCACACTTGAGCTCTTTAGACAGATGCCCTTTAAGATCTCATGTTCTACTACTACTACTTTCCATGAGCCTGAGGTTAATGAATACACTTCTACATGGGCAACCCAAAGAGGAAACCTCTCAATGCAAACAACCACTATCTTGTAATCATTAATAATGGGACTGAATCCAAACCCTGCTTTAATCATACCCTTACCAGCACCATTAGCCCTGGGAGTCCACCGGAGCTCCCGAATCACTGGATTCCACAGCAAAAAAGCGGGAGGATCCATTACGGTTTCCAAACAGAGCAAGCCATTGCAGGAACCCACGATGCTAGCAGACTCAAGCTCAATTTCCGAAAGTAGCACCAGCAGTTTTGGCACCTGCATTTCACAGTCCAGTAAATGTAGACCGTCTTTACCTGGTATAAGAGGACAAGGGGATTGATGACGAAGGTGGTCTGCGATGAAAGACGGAGTCTTGATGGTAGTTTTCCACTGTTTGCTCACACATTGGAATCGGAGCAGGGATTTCGCCGGAAGTCGGCTGAGAATGCTTCTGATTATCTCCTCTGGAAGGTATTGTGTAGGGGCATCCATTTTCACGAGCTTCATGATCGGGGATTAGAGATCAGGTACTCGCCGCCGAGCGCCGACTGATAAGCCCTCACCGTCGCCGGAGCAGCCCTTGTCAGAAGATCCGTTGTTCCAACTTCCAAAACTTGACCGTGAAATCTAGGTTATACGGAGTAACTTATAAGTATCGAATAAGGGTTCATTGAAGCTAGGCCGGGCACCAATCACTGTGGATACAATCTGGGTCCGGCTATTAAACCGAACACGAAAAACGGGGGATTTGGTAAATGAGTTGGTTTTAGAAAGAAAAAAAAAAATGAAAAATGCTAGAGGTACACTAAATGTGTACTCCATTTGTCTCCACCCCCTCCTTGTCCATAAAAAAAGTCAAGAAATTCAAAAAAAATAAATAAATAAAAATAAAATAAAATAAAAATAGGTAGTGGAGAAGGGAGTGGTATACATTTGGGGTAAAAAGTCCCAAACTCCCAAAGTCTAAACCAAGAATCCTAAATCTTTTAGGACAACATAAAAGTGTAATGATAATGTGATATTAGAATACACGTTGACAATGTGATGAAAAATGATGAAAGTGTAACATGACAATGTAATGATTCACTGTCGGGAATCAGTGGCGGCACTCTAGTGACCGACGGCGACGAATGACAAGTGTGACAGTGCAGTAGTTTGCAGTGTGAAAATATAGTGAGCATAGCGGTTTCACAATGACAGTAAATTCTTTTTTGGTCTTAAAACACTTAAAACTCCTATCCTGGTACTTCCATAGTTTTTATGCTTATCTAGGAGTTCTACCTTAAGTATAATTACAAATAGATCATATCAGATCAAGACTTATTTCAATCATATCAAAATCAATAAAATTAGGTGAAGACAACAAACTCACAGTTCTTGGCCCGATAGTAAAATTGGAGAGTGAGATTTGTTTTACCCCGTTTTAATGCTTTCTTTGTGTCATAATTTTTTGAAGAAGGCAACCTTATACCCCCTATGTCCCTAAAAGAGTTAATTGTTTACTATTACGATCTATCGAAAACTCCTACTTATTTTGCACGTGTTTCGCTGATCATTTGATTAAATAAAATATTATTGTCACCTATTATTTTGTAAAGTTTTGGATGTACTTTTTAAATATATAATTTTTTCATTTTTTATTTCTTTATCATTTGTAAATAAAATTATTTTAAAAGTCACGAGATTTTACACGTTGATCAAAGAAAGAAATTTCCTTAGGTACATAGGGAGTATTAAATTATAGATAATGTTTGGCGGAAGCTGTTTTTGCTTCTGTCCAAGTCGACACAGCGTAAATTCAATAACAACAACAACAATAATAAAAGAATATAAAAAAAAGAATAACACAATATAAAGTACTCCACAATATAAAGTACTCCAGATATGATAATTTGAAGTAAACAAATAAATATGCTACATACTCCTAGATGGGTAGATATGTGATAATTGGTTTTAAATTTTTGTATTATAGTTTCGTCCTGTTTAATATCATTTCTTCGTGATTGAAAAAATAAAATAATATTAAAATAAAAGTACACTTTTGTACAAAAAGCATAATTTTGTTAAATAAATAATGACTTCGAACTTAAAAGGATCTTGAACATGATAAATAAAAAATAAAGAATCCAAATTTAAATAATAAGATTTTTCAATTAATACAGTATCGAACTATTAATAACTAAAAAAATGCTCATATTAGTAATAAATTTCATAACAAAAATAATAATGAAAGAGTATTAAAAAATAACATAATACAAAGTAATCCATATATGTAAGGTGAAATAAACAAATAAATATTCAACATACTCTAAGATGGTTTTGACTGATTCGATCTGTGATAATCAATTTTAAATTTTTGTATCATGGTGCGTCTTGTTTTATATCAATTCGGTTTCGATTCGTGATTGAAAAAATCAATCTTTTTAAAATTAGTGTAGGTTTTTTTAGAGTAAATTCCATAATTGGTCCTTCATAATAGGGGGGTTTCCCTATTTAGTCCTCTATTATCAAATATTATCCAAGTGGTCCTTCTTTTATGGGTACCTTTCCACAAATAGTTCTTTTTTTGATCTTGTATCATGTTGATGTTAATTTGAGGGCTAAAAGTATAATTTTACAATGATAATATATATTTTTTGTCATACACAATTTCAAAGGCTATTCCGTTTGCGTTGTTTATGAATTACAGTCGCTTTCTACTACAACCATAGTCTACAAATGTGGTCTTTCGTCGGAATCCTAGCCCACAATCATAGTCATTATTTTTGTGTTATGCGCTTAACAAATATCAGAACACGTCACTAGACATAATATAGATGTAAAATTATACTTTTAACCTTTAAATTAACACCAACATGATACAAGATCAAAAAAAGGACCATTTATGGAAAAGCACCCTTAAAAAAAGGACTGCGGGGTAATATTTGAAAATGGAGAACTAAATAGGGAAACCCCCTGTTACAAAGGATCAATTATGGAATTTATTCTTTTTTTATCGCTCCTAAATTTAACTTGAACGAATATTGTGAGAAAAGTTGATTTTAGCCAGCACACAGTACAAAATGAAACGAGGAGGTCAAGTAAACATGGCGACAAGGTCAACGAAAGTGTGAAACGTGAAAGGGTTTCTTTCATTTCCCCTTTCCCCTTTCTCCCTCTTCTCTTTTCGCCTACTAGGGCTATATATCTACCGATTCACGCGTGATAGATCATTGACCGAGCTCAAAATCAAGAAGAAGAAGAAGAAGATCAATCTCAAATCGCAACCACTCGATTGGGTCGAAGCCATGGCCGCATCTGCTCGTTTGGTGGTTCTTCTGGTAGCTGCAGTAGCTTTTGCCGCCGGAGGAGTTGCCGGAAATTCCGAAGGCGACGCGCTCTACGCCCTCCGCCGGAGCCTGTCTGACCCGGATAATGTGCTCCAGAGCTGGGATCCGAATCTGGTGAACCCTTGCACCTGGTTCCATGTCACTTGCAACCATGAGAACCACGTCACCCGCCTGTGAGTCAACTCTTATCATCTTGTTTAACTCGAATTAAGTCTTAACAGTTCGATATTATCTGCATATCTTTTTGTTTTTTTCCCCTTAAATTTGTTAAATTCTCAGTCCCTTATGATGATTTACCTCTCTAGATCGAAAATTACAGCTTTTTTTTATTATAAATGTTGTTGATTGATGTGAAGGTCTGAGTTTCTTTTCCTGTGGTATGGGTATTGGTATTGGATGATTAGATTGTCTCATTTTTCTTACCTGATTTGTGTTAAAGGATTGATCCCAAATCTAGCAAAATACAATTCTGATAAACACGAGCTGTGTGCTATAATTTGATCCATAAACTGTTCTTAGAAAGAGTCAAGATTACAGTATGCTTTTGTACAAGATTTGTGATTAAGTGGCAGTCGCATCTACGGTACCCGGACAATTTTAGTACTCTTCTGGATATACTTCTTTCCATTCTTATTTTTTGTTTGCTGAAGATTTGTCATCTTGTTTGTATCCATCCATTCTGTTATTGGCTTATAGAAAATCATAAAGAATCTCATTGTATATATGAAATTGACTGCAGGGACCTTGGCAACTCAAACCTATCTGGCCACCTGGTGCCTGATCTTGGGAAGCTTGAGCATCTGCAATATCTGTGAGTTTGTTTTCCTTTGAATTATGTGCATTGCCAATTTTGATTCTCACAAGATTGTATTTGCATTGTATTCGAAAGGAATTTGGAGATTTACACTATGATTGGTTCAAGGAATTTGGAGAGAAAACAAAGGAAAATGGTTTTCTCTTATTTTCCTCACCAAAATGGGAGGAATTTGGTTTCCCCACCTCTAAGTACATTTTTCCTTCTCTTTTTCTTTTCCTTCCAATTTTCTTTTTCCCTTTCAAATTCATTGAACCAAACATAATGTTAAGATGTAGTTAAAACTGATATGATACAATGATAAGATGTGGTGTTTGAATGTTCCGTCACAAAAGATGATTTTTTGCCCTGTATTCAAATGAAATGTTAAAATCAAGCCACAGTATGATGTATTGTAATCCGAAAGCTAATAAGAGATCTTTATTTTCCCAGTGAACTCTACAAAAATAACATTCAAGGCAAAATTCCAGACGAGCTTGGTAACTTGAAGAACCTTATAAGTTTGGATCTGTACAACAACAATATTTCCGGGTCCATTCCTCCCTCATTGGGAAAGTTGAAAAGTCTTGTGTTCCTGTAAGTCTCAATATTCCATTCTTTCTGGCTATCTAAATTTTTTCGAAAATGCTTGGGGTACACCAAATCGTTTCCCAAGTTGTGCCCCTCCCCCACCACACATTTCTAATCCAGGATCTTATTTTTGGATATTCCATAAGAAATGCGTTGTGTACAAGTTGGGGTACAATTTGGTGTCCCCAAGCATTACTTAGATTTTTTTTCACCTAAAAAATGTTACTTTGCCTCCATTCCCATTTTTTCTTCACTTGCACGATCTTGTAGTGTTTGTGAGCTTGTGTATGTGAAAATCGGGGTCGGGGCGAGGTAGAAGTGTAGCACAACTCCTTTTTACCCATTCCAGTAGTGTTTATTACCTCTTCCTTCTTGAAATCCTACTTTAACTTTGACTTGGTTATTTGTTTAGGCCATTAAACTAATGGAGTGAGAAATCATACCCTCTTCATCTTGACAAGTACCAAGATGTCATATATTAATAATAAGCTATATTTGTGCTTCAAATCCTGCAGGCGTCTCAACAATAATCAGTTAGCAGGGCGAATTCCAAGGGAACTTATTCATCTTTCTACCCTTAAAGTCGTGTAAGTTGTTTGGGACTTGGTCCAATTCCTTGTTGCAACCACGTGTCTTTTATTATTTAAGATGAGAAACACCACACCGGTTTTTTTCTCTTTCACAGGGATGTGTCAAGCAACAATCTATGTGGAACAATTCCGACCACCGGTCCATTTGAGCACATTCCACTAAACAAGTAACACCCTCTTCTCTAGTTCTGTCTATTTCTAGTGTTGTTTTCAAAATTATTGGTTGTTTGGAGTATCTCTATCTGTTCCTCCCTTTCTAAACACCAAGTTTGGCAAGTTATACACCAAGGGTTTGCACTGACACTCTGATGACAC